CTCAGTCAGCACCTCGGCCCTGAACAGAGCACACAGGAATCCCCCTTCCCTCCCTCACCATGGCTGAGACTCTGCTCTCTCTCCTCTTGCTCAGGTACAAATAAACCTGGTAGCTCACTCTCTTTTTCTTTTTCTTCTCTTCATCTACTGTCACTCCCCTCATCGAAATCATTAATCAGGCCAGGCAGATTAGACTTCACATACAAATAAACTACACCCAGCAGTCTCCTAAAAGGTCCCTCAATTTCTTTAGGCAACCCTCTTTATTGACAGTTCTCTTTCCTCCTCCTCCTCCTCCTCGGTTTAATAAACCCAAGATGTCCAGTAAGGCAGCAAGTTGAACATTTGAGCACTGTGGCAAACTGTGGGGCCTATTACTGCTTTATTGATATAAACAACTTGCCTTATCTTCAAGGATGATGACTCTTGAGGTCTAACCTGCCATCCATGTAAATATGCAACAGATAACCCTTATCAGTTTTGCACAATAAAGCCAGTCTGCTTTTCAGCTTCATCTAAAAGCACATATCCTTTATAGGGATTAAAAGGATTAAATGTGCAACCTGAATGTATTCAGGCATCTGTTTTATCCAGTAGCTACTTTATCCTGTTTTCCATTCTTGGCTCAGAAAACAGAGGAATAGTGGAGGGCAATAGTGCCACCTTTGGGTGAGGCTGAGTAGTACAGCTGTAACCATGAAAGAGGTTTGCCCTGTGCCTGGGCTGTGGCATCCATACAGCTTCTGAAAGCACATTTGTGTAGTCCAGCTCTATTTCTTCATTATTTAAAGTGGAGAAGGGTATGGACAGAGGAGGAAAGGGTCTGGGGTCTGCTGAGTCCTGCTGGGCCCTCAGCAAGCTGGGGCTCCCTGGCCAAGTCTTTGCTGGCTGACTGACAGGCGGCCCACCGACTGTTTGTATGTGTCCATGGGAAATGGGGTGGTGTCGCTGTGGCGGCGGCCCTGGGGCCATCCATCAGTGTCATGGGGGCGGAGGGGGGAGGGGTGTATGGTATGTGTCACCTCCAAGACTAATGGACAGGAAGTAGAACCAGAGAAACAACAATATTTGCAGAATATATATATTCAGAAAAAGGGCTCGGTGCACGTTTCTTGTACGGTTTCAACAAAACTCAAAGTGCAGGCCTTAATCCTGACTGACCAACCTGTTTGTTTAAGACACTCACTCTACAGCAGGGGCCCTCCTCACCAACCTCAACTATAGCCCTGTGGTTTCAGACCATACACACTATATGTATGTATATGGAACAATGGTAGTGCTGGTTATCACATGTCAATTAGTGATTACCTGCATGACTGGCCTGTTCAGAAGGAGCAGCAAAAAAATCCCAAGGAGCACTGTGAAACTGGGGGCCATGTTACAGCCATACAGAGAGTGAGAGCAACAAGGAGAAAAAGCAGAATAAGCCCTGGCTTTCTATGATCACTGAAGGACTCTGTGTTCTCACCAGTATCAGAGGCCGAGGGTGCTTAACCTCAGCAGCCGGTGACTGTGGCGTCCAAACCGGAGCGCTTCGTAATGTTCACCTTGACCACCTCCTCAGCACAGGTTGGGTGGATGCCTACTGTCTGCAACAGGTGGGAATATGTCGCTCCACAGCTGAGACACGCAAAAACACACAGAGAAGTCATTCAAGTTGCTGTTCTTTTCACTTCTTGAACAACTGACATCTATGAATATCCTTAAACAGACATCTTATACTGTAGCTATATTTTTTTGCTGGCATCTAACATGTTTTGTTTGGTGTGGAAGGCAAACTGATCAAATGCATTGTGCACTAAATGCATAAATGTTGAATGAGAAAAAGTCATCAGGAGCAGTCAAAACCTAGAAACATACTCCAATCTGCATATCTTAGAGAGACAGTTAAAACAACTCAGCTCAACACCAGAACTGTTTAAAAGGCTGTTCCTATGGCTATCAATATGCAGCACAAACACTGTATTTACATTTATACTATATAAAATCTAGGATTTATTAAATTACACTAAACTTGAACTTACTGGAAGCCCATAGCAAAGCCCTGTGTGACTTCTCCTGCATTTGGGCCTGTGAAGTGCAGACCTAGGATCTTCTGGTTTCCACCTCGCTCACATACCACCTCAGGAGGTTAAAAAAAAAAAAAGTTTAGGAGCTAAAGCCATGGAAATGTTAACCCCACTTATTTTACTGCAGGTTTGTATATTTATCAAGCCAACTGTCAAGCTTGAAATGCTAATAAAAAAAACCTTGCAGCAGATTTGTAGTCTAACCCCACCTTTATGTAACACTGGCCTGCATCACACTCAGCAACAGTGAATTCCAGAGGCTTGTAGAAAGCGTGGTAAACCTACACAGACAAACACAGGTGATAAATCACATAAAGAGGTAAAATGATATGCATTTTGTTTTACATTCTGCCTACAACCAATCAGTGTTTCACAGTGATTTTAAAACAGTCTCCTGTGGACCTTAGCTTTAACCAGAGGAGCTTATTAATAAAAAGGGCACTGACGTTTATCTCTGTACATTTTGCAAAGTGTTGTATTAAATTCTTCTAAAAATAGCAACTAAAAGAAACTAAGGACTATAAACAAAAATGCTTTGCAACCAGTACAGTGTGCCTTTTTGTAAAAAAAAACAAAATAAAAAAAAAAACAGCTGTTATATCTTTAGTTATATCTTTGCCTTTTACATTAGCAAAAGACAAAATAAGTAATTACATTTAGTATCAAGTGGCAGCTCCAGCTACACCAGCATCATCTTCCAGGATTCGTACAAATGAAGTCCTCCAATGCAAACATGATAGTGAGCTCTTTGGTTCACATCACACAATAAGTCTGCCTATGTACATTTGTTTAAAAACAAAAAAACAAAGTTCTTATGGAGATGATGCTTTGCCACTGCTGTTATACAATGTAAACACATTCTGACTGTCTTACTAACTATACAATCGCAGCACTAATTCATAATAGGTCATAATAGTGATCGATTTCAAACCCCTTACTGAGACGTGTGCAGTGTGTATTTTTTTCTACGGGCAAACGTGCTGACACAAGTTGCGAGGGCCATGCAGCTGTCGGGGGCTGGTGCTACAGCTCCTCCTCAGATCTCAGCGCGCCTGTCATCGCCCCATACACACCTCAATCAGGCCTCCTGCTCGCCTGCCAATCACAGCCAGGAGGCCCACCTCACCAGCTAAACCGTTTATCGACGGCCTTGAGCAGGTGTTGGCTAGCATCTGGCACACTGTTCACGTACACAAGCAGGTAAAACACTGAACTGATTGTTGTTGCATTGTACAAGTGTCTCAATATGTGTATTTGTGGTTATGGGACACTATTTATGCAGACCAATGACAGGAACTGGCCACTGGTAGGTACACGCTACCTGTGTAACTGCACACATGTGTGGCATGTAGTCATCCATTTACTGGTAAAGAAACAAAAGACAGACTGCAACAAAACTACAGACACTAACAAGTTGAGGCAACCTCTGTTTAACACAATTTTTCTTGGTGTGTAATTAAAAGGTTAAGCACATTATTTTTACTACCATATATTTTATATTGAGTGGCAAAAGCTGGAAAACTCAAACTTGAATAGAATCTTTCAAAAAAAAAAATCCAGATTTTCTATTGTATGTTACTTGAAGTGTTGACATATGAAGGACAAAATACAATGTGGAAAAATTGACCAAGTTGCCCTTTATAGGTGTATTATAGCGACAAACCTTACCTCTATGCCGTCTTCTCCATGTCTCCTCTCTGCCTCCTCCTCAGATAGGCCTACACAGCCATACTCAAGAGGGGTGAACACTGTGGTGGGCACCTGACACACACACACACACAGAATTATAAGCTCTAGCAGAGTGTGCCAACCTTTTCAGCACCTTATTTAAGTCTGAGATGTTTAATGACACCATTAATTGCAGAATAGTTATGTTATCATGCATATTACAGCATGGAATACTTAAAATTAGGGAGCACCACATTTTTAAAACATATTTATTGGATATAAAACCTATTAAACAAATCTAAGTATAGCAACCCTAAAAATCCACCCTGATCCCTTCCTCTTAAAGGGGTAGAGAAACGTCCACCATTTAAGATTAAGATGTGCAGAGGGATGAATTTTAGTAAACACAGGATGCAGAGGAATAAAGAAAATGCTCCACCCTCTCTCCAGGATGGCTTGAGAGAGGGTGGAGGTACAGATAGATGGTAGTACAGTTATATACTGGACTCCAAACATAAAACACTAGAAATAGTTAAATTTTGCTTCAAATGAAACAATAGGCTCAAAAGACCAGATAAACAGAAGCTGTGGAAAGATGCAAAAAAAGTTTGGCCTTTCAGAGTGAGTGTGTGCGTCTTACATTGGTTCAGGAGCTCTGTTCTCGCCCCAGCCAGTCTGCGGGCCAGAAGCTTTCCTGCTTTAATGGCTGTTGGGGTCAATTCAGGACGACCCTAAAACATTAGGGAATTGAACTTATTTCTACACATTTGTACCTTAAATGCATCTTCAGGTCATTCATTTTTATTTCTAAAATATCTGACTTGCCTCAGTCTCTCTTAAACATACACAGTGTAGAAAAGTGTAAACCCAGGCACACAGACTTAGTGGACCACGAGTCCCTGACTGACATTAATTAGCAAATACAAAACATTTAAACCATCTAATACACTTCAACAAATCTCTCCTGTGTTTTTGACTTTATTGTTCTGGATGTCTGCCAAAACAGACAAACAGTGGTGGTTACATGCGCACACACACACACATACACACAACTGAACAGTACAGGAAACAGTACGGCTGCAGGGCAATTCTAAAGGCATGACTTCAACCTGTTAAATTACCACCACACATCCTGTTGTCCAAAACATCTCCTACACATGTATATGGATGTGTGCTCTGGTATTCTAGCTAGTGTTTACACACCAGA